TCTCTCTCTCTCTCTCTCTCTCTCTCTCTCTCTCTCTCTCTCTCTCTCTCTCTCTCTCTCTCTCTCTTTCGTGCACACACACATACACACACACATACACACACAACACCCCCCTCCCCGCGCGCTTTGTGGGTGCAAAATGGGAAAGTGGGAAAATTCATTTCCAAAATGCAACTCTCTCTTTCTCTCTCTCTCTCTCTCTCTCTCTCTCTCTCTCTCTCTCTCTCTCTCTCTCTCTCTCCTCCCCCCCCTCCGTGAGTACGTTTTATTATTATTATTATTTGTTCATGTTAAATTTTGATTGTTTTTTACTTTTTACTTTTTTTTTTTTTTTTAATTATTTTTTTTAATTCCCTGCTACCGGGCATTCGCGGGTTGAGATATGCAACCTCCTCGTGTTTACCGCCGCGGTATTGTTTTTCATATATATGATTTGCCTCAAGCTGGATAATGGTCCTAGTACACCCATGTTATATGTAAGGATATCTCGACCTTCCCCCCCCCCCCCCCCCCCGCCCTTCTAAAAAAAATAAATAACAAAATAAAAAAACCCTTTCGGACATTCATTAGAATTTGAAGGAGGCGATGAAATGGGAGGCAAAATGCACTGTCTTTGTGTTAGCTGGACCTTCATCGACGACCCCATTCTACTCCCTAACTAATGTTGTTATATATGGTTTATAGGTGGTGTCATTTTCGCTGAATTTTCCACAAAAAACTGTCATATTGCCTTGACTTTGTTTTTTGTTCTTGATTTTTTTTATATGTATATGCTTTAGGGTATATCATGTTATTCAGTTTGTATATTATTTTGACTTTTAACAAAAAAGTTAGGGAAACCAAGGAATTCGTTGAGCGCTTATTTGAATTCAGAAAATATTTTTTTGCTAGGGTTTTTCAGTGTGTGGCGATGCGCCAAAAAACATTGAATTTTCAGCCTTCCATTAAACCACCAATACCTTTTGCAGCTATTTTGCCATGAGGCGCCGGGTAACGTAGAAGGCCGACGGACTCTGTGCTACCGGACCGAAATGGCTAGCGGCACCAACCAAAATGAGAATTGAGCTAGTTCGTTTATTTTTTCGGTGTGTCGAATGATTTTAGACTCGATATCGATAACTACGAAAGGTACTGGTGGTTTAATCCCTTCATTATGACGTAGCTATGCTGGTAACGATCCCCTGTATAGCATTCGAAGGATTAGTAGGTAGGTAGTGGAAGACGAAACAAGAATTGGAGAGAACAATATAGTGCCTTTTGTGCCTTTGGGGCATCTAAACTTTTCTGTAGGACCCTGTTAGGAGGGGGCGGAACTTTCTATAATGCCCTTACTGGACTGCCGGTCCTGTTTCGCGGTCACTGCTAGGTATGCCCTTGTGAGGGGTATGCATTGTTCTCTGATGCCCTCACAACATTCACTTGCTACAAATCAAAGCGCGGAAAAGCACGCACAAACACACACACACACACACATACACACACATACATACACATACATACACATACACACACATACACACACATACTCACACACGAACACACACACACACACACACACACACACACAAACACACAAACACACATGTGAACATACACATACACACACACGAGTACGTATACACACAAGCGCACGCATACACACAAGCGCACGCATACACACGCACACACATATCCCGTCGGAGTGGCAGGAGGACCGCCACGAGGAGGGAAAGATGAGCAAGAGGTGGAGGAGATATGGGTGTATCCTCCCATGGTCTAGCGAAAGATTCATGTTGATTTTGCACATCGAGCATCAATCTTCCGCTAGAACATGGGAATATACGACCATATCCCCTCCTACTCATCCAGCTAGTCTTTCCCTCCCTCATAGAAGAGATGACCATATCCCCTCCTCGCATTCTTTCTCCTCCTCCCACTAGTCTTCCTCTCCCTCATCGCGTTCCACTATAGCATGGGAAGATACATCCATATCTCCTACTTCTCCCATTCCTCCTCCTACTTATCTTCCCCCTTCCTCATCGCGCTCCTCCTGCCACTCCGACGGGTGGAGGGCGATGAGGAGGGGAAAGATGAGTGGGAGGAGGAGGCCGAATGAGAGGAGGGGATATGGCCGTATCTTCCCACGTTCTAGCGGATAATTCATGCTCATTTTGCTCATTCAACAAGAGGAGAGATGAGGAGGGGGAAAACGAGCGGGAGAAGGAGGAGGAATAAGAGGAGGAAGACAAATGACCATTCTCGTATTCTAGCGGAATAATCCTGTCGATTTTTCATTTTATAAAATGAGCATGAGTCTTTCGCTAGAACATGGGAAGATACAACCACAATCCTCCTCCTCCTGCTCGTCTTCCCCACCCTTATTACGTTCCGATAGAACATCGGAAGATACAACAATCTCTTTCTCTTCCCGTTCATCTTCCCCCTCCTCCTCCCGCTCCTCCTCCTGCCATTCCGAAGAGAGGAGAGCTATGAAGAGGGAAAAGACAAAAGAGAGTAGGAGGAACGGGATGAAGAGGGGATATGGTTGTATCTTCCCATGTTCTGGTGGAAGATTCATGCTTATTTTAGAATGTGCAAAATGAGCATGAATCTTCCACTAGATCATGAGCAGATACGACGATAAGTCCTCCTCCTCCCATTCCTCCTCTCGCTCGGCTTCCCCCCCGTCATCGCGCTCCTCTTCCTGCCACTCCGATGAGAGGAGAGCGATGAGGAAGGGAAAAACGATCGAGAGGAGGAAGAGATATATCATATGGCCATATCTTCCCTATGTTCTAGTTATTTTGTACATTCTGGTCGTGAACGAGAATGTGCAAAACGAGCACCAATCTTCTGCTAGAACATGGGAAGATACGACCATATAACATATATAGTCCTCCACCTTCCGTTTCTCTTCCTCCTCTGGCTCGTCTTCCCCTCCCTCGTCGCGTTCCTCTTCTTGCCACTTGAAAGACGCTCCTCGTCCTGCCTACGATCCGAGTCCATCGGAGTGCCACCAACAGCCACGGGGGCATGCTGAAAAATTGCACGGTGCCCCTAGGGGCATATGGGAAACTATTCTACTGGTACTTCCGGTAGTGGCATACTGGAAATCCGGTACCAGTACCGGTAGGGGCATCTTGAACATATTCAAGGCCCAAATGATGCTAGGGGCTTTCGGAAACTTGAATCACTGCCAGAGGGGCGCGACAGGGTAAGTCAGCCAATGGAGGGGCACCCCGCAAGTAAATGGAAAAATCAGGGGCATTTCGAAAAGTCAAAAAATTTGAACGATACACAGAAGTTTAGCATGGCCGCTGCGCAAGGATGATACCATCAGGACTGACCTGCCGGTCCAGAATGTCAAATGCCTGATCTGCAACTGCGGTAGGCGGGTACTGTCTTTCGGCCATAGGCGGGGTATTTATGTCCTCCAAACAAATCGAAGGTGTTCTCCAAAGGTTAAAAAAACGGTGGGCTTGTGACAACGGTGGCCTTTCCCAATCAACGGGATGTAGCCGTGCTGGCAGGTGTCCCCTGTATAGGCTTAGGAGTAGTGGTAGATAGGTTGTAGTAAAGGTGAATTTGAGAGAAGGTAAAGAAAGGAAAAAAAACAGAAAACGGTGGCCTCGTCAAAACGGCGCCCTGGCGAGGAGGACCGGCCGAAGAAAGCGTTGGGCGAGGGCGGCTGGGCGGGACCGGCGCGCAGCAGGTACACGCGGCCGGCTGGGGTGAAACACCCGCAGCGCGCCAAGTTTCGGGCTGCGATGAATCGGACGAGAAGATCCGCGATCGACGGATCTGACGTGGATGTTCGACCGGACAGGAACATGTGCTTACGTGTCATTGATCGTTGGTCATGTTTGTCTTCCGTGGCCTTCCTCGTCGGCGTGGCGCTGTCTTCACCAGGGTTTACAAGGTATGGGTCATCTTTTGTGATAGGTTTCTGGCATTCAGCTGTTGGAGGGGAAATTGAGTGTGTCTCTCTCTCATCTTCTCTGTCTCCTCGTTTTTTCTTTTCCTCTGCTCTGCTCACACATCGGCGGTGGACACCATTCTGCTGCTCGGGGGGCACACAGAGTGTCAATCTCTCACGTCTTCCCGCTCTTTTCCTGTGTTTCCCGCTGCTCTGGTCGCACGGCTGCGGAGGATAGCCGTCGAAGTTGTGCCCTTCTCGTGGAGGAGGCCAACTGTTTGCTGGAGCTTCCGGTGGCGGATTGACTGCAGGGAAGGAGGGAGGTTTGGCATGGAGCGGCGGCGGCGGCGGCGTCCGTCGTGACGGGGTACGGGGTAGGGGGACGGAGAGGGATTGGAGGGGGGGAGAGGAGGGGAGGAAAAAACGGCGAGGAGCAGTTTTGACAGCAGAGAAGGCGGCTGGCGCCTTCTTCGGATCGTCATCGTTCAGGAGGCCGCAGGACGAGGTAGGGCATGGAGAATGGACTGATTAGTGGCGGCGGCGGCGGCGGAGGAGGAGTCGGAGGAATCGGAGGTGGCCCAGCTGGCCATGGCGTACCGCGCGGAGATCGCAGGGGAAACCACAGTCCTTATCGCGGCGGGGGAGGTAGTGGAGCAATGCTATCGGGGGGAGGACATGGAACGCGGTCGTCCGCCTCGCCAGGGAGAGGCGGAGGGGGAGGGGGAGGAGGAGGGTCGGTAACAGAGAGTCTGGGTGGAAAAGGGGGGCCTGGCAGCGGAGGAGGTAGCGGCTTCGGGGGGGGAAAGAGCAGCCGGGGCGGAGGGGGAAGCGCGGAGGGGGGAGGAGGAGCGAACGCGGCACAACATGCCTTTAGCGGCACCACATCAACTACCTCGGCGGGACTGCGATCCTCCAGCACACCACCGTCTTCCTCATCATCGGCACCTAGATCGTCGAGCACAGCGGCAGCAGGGAGAATGGAGAGCGTAGGGCATGCACCAACCGACAAGGAATTGCGCGCGCGCAAACGCATAGAGTCCAATAAGTATGATCTGGAGGCGTGGGGATGGCTGACGACCGAAGCCCAGGCACGACCGGCAGAGAGTGCAGCCCTCTACGAGTTCATTCTGTCTTGTTTTCCATCCTCCGCTCGGCACTGGAAGATGTACGCTGAGACGCAGATTAGCGCAGGAAACGATGACGCGGTCAAGAGCATCTTCAGCCGTTCTCTGCTTAATTGCCTCCACATTGATCTGTGGAGGTGCTACCTGCGGTATATCAGGAAAGTAAACGATGGGAGAGGGGTAGAGGGAAGGGAAGAAACGAAGAGGGCATTCGAATTCATGCTCGAGCATGTGGGGTACGACATATCAGCGTGTCAAATATGGATGGAATATATATCCTTTTTGAAATCAATCCCTGGAGGCACCGCGCAGGAGGAGAGCCAGCGGATGACTGCGATCAGGAAAGTGTACCAGAGGGTAATACTTATTCCGATGCATGGGATTGACGGGCTGTGGAAGGATTACGAGTCGTTTGAGAATAGCGTGAGCCGAGCACTGGCAAAGGGTTTGTTAGCGGAATACCAACCAAAGCACTTTAGTGCGAGAGCTGTATATAGAGAGAGAAAGAAGTATTTCGAGCATCTTGATCTTGGCATGCTTGCTGTCCCCCCTTCGGGATCCCTTAAGGATGAACAACAGTGTGTCAACTGGAAGAAATTGATTGCCTTTGAGAAGTCCAATCCACAAAGGCTGGACGCAGCGATGTGTGCAAAGAGGGTTGCCTTTACTTATGAACAGTGTTTGATGTACCTGTACCATTACCCCGACATGTGGTACAATTATGCCACGTGGCAGGCAGAACAGGGCCAGCATGATCCCGCGGTCCGCGTCTTCCAGCGTGCGCTGATGGCTCTTCCTGACTCCGCTGTCTTACACTATGCCTTTGCAGAGTACCAAGAATCCAACGGCAATGTCAGGGACGCAAGATCCGTCTACGATGCACTCATCCGGAACGATGCTGCTGCCAATGCTCTTGCCTATATTCAGTTCATGAGGTTTATCAGACGAACGGAGGGAGTGGATGCAGCGCGCAAAGTATTTATGGCAGCACGTAAGTCACCCATGTGTACCTACCACGTCTACGTGGCCTCTGCTAAGATGGAGCTGTGCATCGACAAAGACCCCAAGGTTGCCCGAAACATCTTTGAGCTGGGACTCAAGAAGTACATCCATGAGCCGGCGTATATTTTAGAGTACCTTGATTTCTTGATGCAATTGAACGATGACCGCAACATAAGGGCACTGCTAGAGCGGGCGCTGAGTGTGTTACCCCCGGAGGAGTCGGCAGAGGTATGGGATAAGTTCCTGGAATTTGAACTGTTGTACGGAGATCTGCAGAGCGTACTGAAGGTGGAGAAGAGGAGAAGGGAGGTGCTACAAGACGGAGGCGAGGGGACGAACACCCTGCTGCTTGATGACCGCTTGGAGCAGCTGGTATCCCGATACAGGTACCTGGAGCTTTGGCCCTGTTCGCCTGGTGAGCTGGAGCACGTGGCAAGGCAGCAGTTGCTTCTACAGAAGGCGGCAGCCGCCAAGTCGGCGGATAGAACCCAGCAAGGTGCGGCCTTTAGAGGGCATGCTTCGTCGAGTAATATGGTCCACCCGATAGATCAAGGAGGGCCACCGCCAAACCCGCCGACTGTTGTGACAGCGCCAACAAACATTGTGAGGCCCGATGTGGGTGTTATGGCGGTGTATGACCCCAGACAAGGGCTGAGTGGACCCATACCCGGGGGACCGTCGGGGCTGCACCCTACTTTGGCGGGGTCTATGTTAGGACCGGCCCCTTTGGCGTTTGGGGGGGCCTTGTTACCAATGCCGCCGCCTCATCTGCTGCCACCCAACCCCATGATCCAAACCCCCTTGCCTCCAGGAATGATGCCTCTACCGCCACCGGCAGCAGCCCTGATCAGCGGCGGAGGACGGAGTGGAAGCAGCATTAGCTCGGGTCGACCGCCTGTACCTCCGCTCCCTCCGGGACCTCCTCCAGGCACCATTGTTCGGCCCATTGTCGATGCCAACACCGTCGGACCCACAGCAGCGGCAACTGTGACCACCACTCCAGGACCAGGGATGAAGTCGGCAGTAGGAGTTGATGATGCTGTCCTTAAGCAGCTGCCTCCAGCAGTGGCCCTCTTCTTCTCCATGCTTCCCCCAATTCCAGGGCCTTATCCGGATCCCGATTTGGTGATTTCTATTCTGATGCAGTCTGACCTGGCAAAGATACCAGGCTCTGAAGTGTCATTTGCAGAAAGTGCGAGTGCGCCCACACCGGCAGCTCTGGTACTGTCACATAGCCCCATCCATGCTTCTATGGGACCACAGAGGATCGATGGCGGAGCTGGCCAGTTGATACAACCAACACCTCATCCGATGGCATATCATCATTCACACCATCAGCAGCAGCAGCAGCAGCATGAGCAGTACAAGGCAGCAGTGCAACAGCAGCAAAAGGAACATGAAAAGCATCACAAGGCAGGCGGGTCCGGAGGAGGAGGGGTTGCAGGTAGTGGAACATCAGGACAACAGCAGCGCCAGCAAGGCGCATTTGGGAAAAGAAAGGAACCTGAAAGAATGCAGGACGACGATGAGGACGATGTTCCAGCTGCACATAATCAGCCACCGCCACGAGACATCTTCAGAATGCGACAAATGCAGCGCGCTCGAGGAAGTTCTTCAGGAGCTTCTTCAACCCCTACAAGTGGGAGCGGCGACGGATAGATAAGAGAAAGGATGTGCAAATCCTCTTTTTTCTTTCTCAATTTGCCAGGCTAGGAAGAGAATAGCTTGTTTCAGTGGTAGAGGGCGGCATGGAGAAATGCTGAGTGCTTTTTTTCGCCTTTGGCCAGCGAATGTTGCCACCACTGAGTGTCAAATAAAGTAGCGTATTTTGCAACCCTTGGTCAGAATATCACTATGATTCGAGTTGAACCCGATTTTCGTGCAGCGTGCACCCCGTCGTGTACCCCATTTCCATGCACCACAGGTTTCGGTGCACCATAGGGCCACATAGTGAAGCATAGAGTCATCAAGGAGTTGAAACGCCGGCCAGAATAGCGAGGACCGCTCTAGTTACCGTAGTGGTTTTCACAAAAACGTTTTGTAGCATGTGTTCGGCGTCTGTTTGGTTTTCACAAAAACGTTAGAATTTTGTGGATCGAGCTTGCCTCTGTCTGGTACTTGCACTCGTTTAGACTTTCGTGGATCAGGATCGAGCTTCAGTGGAATCGAAATCTGATGTAATCTTTTTACAAGGAGAGTACAAAGTTACGATGGACTTTTCCGGGGGCCATTGCCCACAGTTCCTCCGTTATCTATTCGTTTGTCTTTTCTATACATAGTTGGCCGTCTGTAGCCATCATGCTGGCCTCGACTACAACATGCTTCTGTTTCTTGTACGCGTATTGCAGGGTTGCGTACATATGACATAATTATCCAAAGGAGTGGTCACGCCCTGTGTGCCGTGTGTTGTGTTGCATTGCGCCGCTGCTTTCATTCTTTGGGGGGTCTCCAGCTTATCTATTGTAGCCAGGCGGGCGGACGGGCGGGCGGGCGGGCGGGAGGGCGGGAGGGAGGGAGGGAGAGAGTTTCCTGTACTCCCTGAACCACAGCGCAGTGGAACAGGACATAGAGGTGTGGTGTGGTCCGAAGGGCCACGCTCTTGGGAGTCCAGCCAGGGACAAGTGTTTGTCAGAAGCGCTTTTTTTTCCAGCTGCTGAGCCTCTTGATTTTCTTTTTTTTTCCGCGCTGATGGTTCATACCGCAGACCGGGCTTTCTGTGACACATCACACTGATTTCTGCTGCGTTTCTGCACAGGACCGATTTCCGCTGCGCAACTGCAGACCCGGTTTCCAGTTTCCGCTGCGCAACTGCAGACCTGGTTTCCGGTTTCTGCTGCGCAACTGCAGACCTGGTTTCCGGTTTCTGCTGCGCAACTGCAGACCCGGTTTCCGGTTTCCGGTTTCTGCTGCGCAACTGCAGACCCGGTTTCCGGTTTCCGGTTTCTGCTGCGCAACTGCAGACCCGGTTTCCGGTTTCCGGTTTCCGGTTTCTGCTGCGCAACTGCAGACCCGGTTTCCGGTCAGGTTTCCGATTTCCGGTTTCTGCTGCGCAACTGCAGACCCGATTGCTGCTGCGCAGCTGCAGAGCACATCTCATCCTGGAGAGTGCGAATGTCTCTGTCTAGATCTCGTATGAGTCGTAGCCAAGTGTTGAGGATTTGTCCAGCAGGTTCCTGAGACTACCTGCTACTACTTCCAAGTCCCATACCATCACTTCTTGGCCGATGGATTCTCGGGCTTCTCGTAGACATGGTTGGGGGGTCAATCAAGTGCTGTCTGGATCCTTCAAAGTGGCCCCTTTCAGAACTGGTTGGGGGTCAATCGAGTGTGGTCTTGAATATTCAAAGTAGCCCCTTTTAGAACTGGCTGTGCTTGACAGGGGAAGAAAAATTTTGGGGAAGGAGGGGGGATGCCGAGGACCATATCTTCAGTTCGCTTGACGATGTGTTTAGTATTGCAGCAGTGACCCCAAGCCTTCACATTTTCACGATGGGGCTGTGCGATTTTCATTGTCACAGAGAACAATGTCGTACGAGTTGAGTGGAAGGGAGACCAAGGCAGGCAAGACCTGTGAGGGAGGATGAGCGACAGTTGATTGGATGTTCCGGCCGGTCCATTGCATATGGGCTATGACTTTATATTCGACCTTTTTTCGTTTCTCTTCTTTTTCGGATTCAGCTTTCGTTTGTCCCCTACAAAGAGGATCGCATGTATTCATGTTGGAGCAGATTGAGCAGATCCAAAGTACTCAGCGAATGTGATGGGGGGAGACGTCACACGAAGAACAGAATGTGGCCAGCGTTGAGCGGGGGGAGAATAGGGAAGGTAGCAAGTCCAGGAAGTTAGGATGAGCGAGACTGTTGATTGGAGGGGGAAGGACAGGGGAGGAGGCGAAAACCAGGGCAACAGTTTGATTGGATGGATTATTCGAGAGGGGACGACAGGGAAGGCCAGACCAGGAGGGGAGAGGATTAGCGACTTCGGATCCAATACATCTGGGCGAACGATGTTTATTTGACTTTGTTCTTTTCTCTCTTCTTTTTCGGGTTCGGTTTTCGTTCGTTCCCTACAGGAAGATCACATGTATTCGTGTTGAGCAGATATAGAAACTGCTCAGCGAATGTGATGCGGGAGGGAGACATCGATTGGTACAGTGGCACATTGTGCCCTCTTGTGAGTAGAATGACAGCATGCCTCTTGTGAGTAAAATGACAGCATAACAACAATTGACTTGATATTCCAGTCCATTGCAGCTGGGGTATTTGTATTGTATTCACGCACGTTGTTTTTTTTCACTCTTTTCAGGTTTGGTTTTTGCGTTTGCGTGTCGGAGCATCGCATGCATTTGCACTTTAAACGCGACCAGTACCTTTCTTTACCTGCTTGAAAAACAAATAAGCGCCCGTTAACCACACGGGGGACTTTCGGCAGCTGGTGGGGTGCCAGTCCAAAATTGCTAGTGGCGCCAACCAAAATGAGGCTCGAGCTGGTTCTTTCTTTTTTTTTGGCGCGCAGGGTGATTTTAGGCTCTGCATCAATAGCTGAGAAAGATACTCGTGGTTTAAACCGCTAGTACACGGCCCCAGCCTTGCTGAAAAGAAACTCGTCGCCTACGAGAGGTGCCATCCAAGATAAAAAGAATTGGTGGCCTGTGTCGCTTTCAGATTCTGACAGGCGCCCTCGGATGACAGCGGGATGTGCACTTGTGCTTTTAGCAGAGAGGAAATGCACATGCTATTCACAATTTCACACACTTTGTTCTTTTCTCTCTTTTGTTTTCAGTTTTGGTTTTTATCTTTGCCCATGGGAGGGTTGCATGGCTGTACATTTTTTTTTTTTCTTTCAGCAGAGAGGAAATGCGCGCGTGTGAGGAGTTCATGCCACATTGTGCTTAGGGGGGGTTGTTACATTGAATAGTATGCAGTTCCCGGGGGGGCGAGGTCCCATTACGTTCTTTCTTCCCCGAATACAACGTACGGTTATTATAGCTGTATCTGGGGTTATCTTTCAGTCCAAATAGACGGCTATAATGACCGTATGCTGTATTCGGGGGAAGGAAGGTAGCAAAGCGGCAGACGCCTGAATATGGATGTGTTTGTGGGGACCAGTGCGGAAAATGGCATTAGAATCGATCGATCTCCTTTACCGCATCTCTGCATAGCACACATCTAGAATCTAGATTCAGGCGCTTAATCCAATCGTTTTTGCTAGTGGGACCTCGGCCCAGATCATTGTACTAGGGTTGATCTGATGGCCTGTGGAAGTACAAGATCTGTCATCGTTTTTTTTTTTTTTTAATAAGATTTGTCTTCTTAGCAAGCCCTTCCTTCCGCTTTTTTTTTTTTTTTTTTTTTTTTTTTTTTTTTCGGTAAGTGCTTTCTTTGTTTTTTTATTCTTTTTCAAACGGCTGCAGGATTCAGTTGCACAGAGGAGAGGAGCACCACCACCAAGAATAGACAGTAATACTCCCTATAGTATACCTCTTTGTTTGTTCTTTTTTTTTTTTTTTTTTTTTTTTTCTGGAGACGATGTCGGCAATTTTCATGACGATAGGAGTGTGAGTGCTGCAGGTTGGTGGCTGACCGTTTTTCAGAGCATGACTGAGTCATTAGCGCATGATATACTCACGCTAGGACTTTTTCAGCAAAGCTCTGGATGCGATTGCGGCTATAGCCTTTACCAGGCCGGACGTCCGGGACTCCCGTGGTTGTCCGAATTGTCCGGTCGGACAATCCCGGAGACGTCCTTCCAGGACAACTCGTCCTCCCCCTGAGAAAAATAGGGGGGAGCCTGGGGCAAGGTCCCACTTGTGCAAATTAGGAGATTTCGGCCGTTGATCTTTGCTATCTATGATCAGCATCTCTTAATTCGTTTGTGCAAGTGGGACCTAGCCCCCCTGGTTTCTGGCAGTTTCGGGGCCTGGACGTGTGCGGGAGGTTACAGGGTGGTGGACCAGCCCCGATAATTTTTTTTTTGGAGGTTGGGTGGGTGGACTCAAAACTCGTACAAAAAATCTGGGCTCAATATGGGCTGTCAGATCTTGGAGATCGACGGCCCAGATTGGGCCCAGATCTTGAAGCAGATGTAGCTCTGCTACTGCACCTGCGGCACCTGCAGCAGCAGATGGTGCAGATGACCCAGCTGCTGCAGCTGCCACTGGCAGAGCAGCTGCGAGACCATTTTTTTTTTGCAGCCGGTAAGGAGTCAAAACTCGTACAAAAAATCTGGCTCAATATGGGCCGTCAGATCTTGGAGATCGACGGCCCAGATTGGGCCCAGATCTTGAAGCAGATTTAGCTGCTACCACTCCTGCGGCACCTGCCGCAGCAGATGGTGCAGAGGACCCAGCTGCTGCAGCTGCTACAGCACCTGCAGCAGATTCTGCAGATGGTGCAGATGCTGGACATGCAGCAGCTACTGCAACTGCTGCACCCACTGCAGCAGTCGCTGCATGTACTGCAGTAGGCGCAGCATGTTGCACCTGCTACAGCAGCGGATCCTCCACTTACCCAACCTCCC